CGATTTTTCAAAATTAGACAGATGTTCACAACTTCAGCTCTCAGGAGCTCTGCACTTCTGTTATGTTCTGAGTTATGGAATGGAATGCCTTGCCAGATCAAAGGAAAGACTGATGAGATCAGATGACAGGCATGTAACCATGGAAACATGATGACATCACACAGTGTGAAATGGTTGCTATGGTTACATTGCAAGATCAAAGAGTGATGACATCAAATTACACTATGTCGGATGTCATCAAATGGTTTCTATGGTTACATTCCTGCAAAATAAATACTTTATTTTCTCCACTGTATCACACACAAAAAGGAGAACTATACTTGAATCGTGAATTGTGAACTATACTTGAAGGTGGAAACCCTACTCACTACTTTTACCACAACACCCTTTCTTTTATTAAATACATTTGATTTTAACCTTTCGATCATCGATGCCCTCTGTCCGTCCGGCGTTTCTTCATTTTGAACACACACTTGCGTGTGTTGCAGAGCAATATACCGCCAGAACAACAGGTGGAGTAACGTGTTTGAAGACCACCTAGAGCATATATGTCAAACTCAAGGCCCGCGGGCCATATCCGGCCCGGCATGCAATTATATCTGGCCCGCGAGATCATTTTATATTATTGTTACTAATGGCCCGACGATATGAAGCGCTGATAACAGAATAAACTACAGATCCCATAATGCAGCGCTTCAGCTGCCTTGCCGAGCGCTTTCCGTGGCGTTTCTGGCTGACATAACCGCTCGTCTCAACGCCTTAAACCTCCAGCTCCAGGGACGTGACCGCATGATCACTGACATGTATGACGCAGTGAAGGCATTTCAAGTGAAGCTGATTTTATGGGAGACACACATGCACCAGTGCAACTTGCCCCACTTTCCCTGTTGCCAAGTAATGCGGCACAGCGGTGTTCCCAAATACGCACGTTGCTGATCAACTGAGCGCACTGCGCGCAGAGTTCGCGCGGCGCTTTGGTGATTTTGAGGAACAAAAAAATAATTTTGAGTTGTTTCGCAACCAATTTGCCGTCGACGTGGAAACTGCACCTGTGCAGATCCAGATGGAGCTGATTGAGCTGCAGTGTGATGGGACACTAAAGACAAAGTCCGACACTGTTTATTCACTCCAGTCCCGCAGCAATGTCCCAGCTCCGTCTACATCGAACCTTGTGCATGTTTGGTAGCACATATCTGCGTGAGAAGCTGTTCTCAGTGAAGACAAACAAAACAGCACACAGGAGTCGTCTCACTGATGAACCTTCAGTCCATCCTGAGAGTCTCCACAACACGGGACCTCGCGCCAAATATAAACCAACTTGTTGCCAAAAAAAAGATGCAAAGCATCCAGCTCTGATAAAATGGCTTAAGAGCAAAGAAAACTGAATGTTTTGCATCGTTATTTGTTATTTCTGAAAAGCACACATTTTATTTATATTTCCAGGTTTTGTTTTGTTTTGCAGCATGTTCATATTTCTTTTTCAGTAGAGACATGGACCCGCGTCCTCCTCCTCATGCAAATCACATGTTAACGAGTATCTTCACGGCCACGCGTTCGCAGTAAATCACTGTTTCTAACTGTATTGAGAATCAGGCACAACACAGCGACCTGCAAGCAGCGCAGCGTCTTTAATAAAGTGATGTGTGTCTTAATGCGACGCTTTAGAAATGAACACACATGGATTCTGTATTTGTTCATGAAGTCTGAAAAGGGTCATTTGGGCAACGTTTTGATAACCGACCGCAGCCAGCGGGGAGAGAGCACCAGCGGACTGACGGCAGCCCCCTATGGCGTTATATTTGTGCCACAATCCTGAGCGCGTAATTTTAAGTTTTGAGCACAGAGAACTATATTTTAGCAAAGAAAAACATTCCGTGCGCGCAGTTTACTGAGGTGCCGTCTCACAAACTGGTTTTCTGCGCGCAGCAGCCGTTGCTGCGCTCGCTCGACGTTCACTCAGGCGCTCGCTCGACTTGCAGCAGCGTTACATTTGTGCCACAAAACCAACCAATCAGATAATTAAAGAAGGTCCATTTTGATTGGCTGTTGGTCTCCAATCACAACGCTTCCTAAAGAAGACGAAAACGAGTGATATTAGAAGTCCGGCTAGCCACCATCAGACATGACCGAAGCAAATGATGAGAACACCAAATGTTTTAATCCAGGCCGTTAGCATTTAGCACAAATGCTGCAAACTTCAACAACTCGCTGAGCTTCCGCGATGCTGTAGGTAGTTCTACTAGCGTTGTGATTGTAACGCTGCTGCAAGTCGAGCGAGCGCGTGAGTGAACCGTCGAGCGAGCGCAGCGTGAAGAGGTGGAGCGAGCGCAGCAACGGCTGCCTGCGCGCAGAAAACCAGTTTGTGGCGAGGGCACCTCAGTAAACTGCGCGCACGGAATGTTTTTCTTTGCTACAACATAGTTCTCTGTGCTCAAAACTTAAAATTACGCGCTCAGGATTGTGGCACAAATATAACGCCATAGCCCCCCCGCGCCCCGCACCCCCCTCCGCACCCCGGCCACACCGTCCACTCGACCACTAGAAATGGGTCATTTAGCGTGCGCGGTCGATCCACATGTCCCTTTATTGTTTTAGCGTTGCCTCTTTGATTATCGCCACCGTCCTACGAGGTGAACGGCGGCTCACATGAACCGTCGCCACCTTCCCGTGATGAAATTGCACTTTTATGTTCATGCTGAGTTTGTATCTGTGGTGGCGGGCGCGGTTTGGCTCGGCTGCAGGGGGGACGGAGAAGGGAGTGGTTCGGGGAACGGTGCCGGGGGAGGCATAGTCAGCCTCAGGTGGGACTAACCAAGCTGTGTGTTCTACCTTTAAGTGGGAGACATCCGGCGACAGCGAGACGGTGCTGAGAGGCGAGGAGGCTGGAGCCGGCTGTGTGTTATTGTGTGGGAACATTGAAATAAAGCACTTTCAATGGACCAGACGCTGCATGCGCATCATTCCGGGACCCCCCCACAGGACAAACCTGTCACAGTATCCTTATGTTTGAAATGCACTTATTGAAACCTCAGTCGCTCTGTGTTCAGATTTAAGTTTAATAGGGATTTGAGGCAGAAAAACAGGTACAAATGTAGAATAAATTATTGTTGATAAGAATCTATTAAGAAGTGATTTAATACAGAACTGACATTTTAGCAGCTGTCTTGAAAGATCTATTGAGAAGTAAGTCATGTTCTTCAGGTACAGTAGTTGTGGACCAATACTAAAGTTTGATAGTGTGCTATTACTGATTTGTTTGTAGTATTCCAGTTTATGTTAACACAAAATTAACATTGTCATTGTGCTGAAAAAGGTGATCGGCGATCTCTGTAGAATATTTCCCAAAAAGAATTAGTGTCACATGACATGATCACCAGTGCCGCCATGCTTGTTAGTTGACCCTGTTGTTACATTTGTTACACAGTTTGTCCTATCAACGGATGATGGCATTGCACGATTTTAACACATCATACATAGTTATTTGGTCAAAAAGTGGATCCACATAGAGATTGCTTTTATGGTCAATGTATCCCAGAAAGAAAACATAAAATATACAACCCTCCCGCCCCATGTTTAAAGATATACAACAGTATATAGATAAATTGTTTGACTAATACTACTTTCTTTTTATTATTTGATGTGTCACCATTGTCCTGAAAATCTGTGCTGACGAGCTTGCCCCATCTTCACGCTGATCTTCAACCGATCACTCGAGCTGTGTGAAGTCCCCTCGTGCTTTGAATGCTCCACCATCATCCCGGGTGCAAAGAATCCACCATCACAGGATTAAATGACTACAGGCCCATCGTCCTGCGCCTATGGTGATGAAACCCTTGGAGAAGCTGGTGTTGGGGGATCTGTTTGTTTGTGGACTTTAGCTCTGCATTCAACACCATCATACCGGGGGTTGCTTCTTCTACTCTCCCATCATGTCTACTCCCTGTTCTTCCATCGCTGTGTGGTTTGGATTGGCCACCAAACAAGACCACAGACTACAACGGAGAGAGAATGATTGCCACAAGACTGCCCTCCACCCTGGACTTGTACATCTGCAGGGTGAGGAAACAGGCAGGAAAGATTACTGCAGATCCTACGGACTAGGGAGACAACTTGTTAAATACAAGGTCAAATATATGTATTATGCATAATTTTGAATATATATTTTATATTGCATAGTTAAATTATTATTTCAAATTTTTATTTTATTATATTCCTGTTTATTGAATGAACTGTGTTGAGACCTGACAAGTAGGCAAAATTAAATTTATACAAATACGCATATATGGGAAATAAAACAGATTCTGTTCTTATTTCTGAGTGACACAAAGTTGTTCCAACAATGCTCCCTCCATGCAGGAAAGGGACACTGCGACTGAAGACCCCATCAATGAGGTTAAATGTGATGTTATTAGTCTAATTTAAAACCTGCATTTTTATGAGGTCAAAAGGGGGAATACACTGACATGGATCCTATTTCAGTTGGTGGAAAATTGTTAAGGATTGAATCGGACTGACCTAACGTTCATGAGTGGTAGATGTAATCACAGAGATTGACAGGCCGTGCACATGACCAGAACAGACTGACAGGTCGTTCATTACATTAGCTGACACTTTTATCCAAAGCGACTGAGGTTACAATAAGTGTGTAGCACTTGTTTGGGACTAGTATTAGGAAAAAGCACTAAATATCTCTATCTAAATGCTTCACTCGGTCATGCAACAATCACAATATAAAACAGTGTGAAATGAAAAAACAAAAGAAGAGTAGATGATCGGGAAATTGTATGCTTCTTGTGAAATAACTCAGTCTTCCCAGAGTAGATATATAAACAAGTCAAGGATATAATCCGTTCAGTCCGTAAATAGTGTGTGCGTGAAAGTTCCGAGTTCCGTTCTGGTCCGGGTCTTTATGTCTACTGTCTCTCTGAACTACCTTCCTACCGTCTACCTGGCGGCAGGACTGGAGTCTGACGTCTTCTCGATACACGAATCAGGGTTGGGTCTGATCATACGGTCGGCCACACCGCATCCACGATCCGGGTTTAGCTCGCCATCTCAGCATTCAGATTCACAGGGTTCAGGTTCTTCTAGTGTGCATAAAAAACCAATCTACACAAAGTGCAGAATAATCGGTGTGCTTTCTAATTCTAGTTCTTACATGAGATCTCATTCCTTTCTGTTCTATATGTATAACCATCACCCGGTTGCACGCATGCACATTGAGATGATAAAACAACATCACAGTAATACTCTTATAACATTACAACTTCACTTAATAATAATGTACAATTCAAAACGATACAGTATTCCACATCACTAACTAAAGGGTTTATCTTTTTCCCTTAATACGTTATGTGATTATATCACCATACTTAACATGAGAATAGCTTAAAGTATAACTTGAACTTAATTTAAGATATGCTTAGGCTATTTAGACTCTATGCACCTGCAATGCACTTGCATAGCAAACCATTGCCATCTGCTACTTAACATAAGCTGCATGGCTGAACTGTAAATAACGCATCCTATAATATTCCAAATTGCAATGCAAAGACATCAGCGGTTAAACTCGATGTTTCCTCCACGATACAGTGAGCACCAGTGTGGGTTTAGCATTTACTCTTTCGTGTTTTTAAAATTAAACACGGTGTTAACTATGGTAACAGGCTGCCGGCAACACTGACAACCACTCCGTTACTACTCCGATTGGTTCCAAAGAGATAACGTTTCAAATAATAACCTAAAAACAGTATTAATCCTCTCCCAGGTTCGCTAGCATGATGCTAGTAATGCTAACAGTGACTAGCTAACTGTGTTCACTCACCGGAGTTTCCAGTACGCGATTATTCGATGGGATTATGTCAGTTGACTCTCAACTGGCTCTCTGGTTGGGAAACCGTCTTATTAATATAATTAAATGTAAGCTTGAATGTTTTATATTATTTCGTACCGAAATCCGGGAGCTCTTTCCTTCACGTCTCCTGGAAGGATAAAAGGGGGCGACGTGGCGCGCGGGGGTAGAGAGGGGGCACTGGGAACCGCAAGGTTGGTGGTTCAAGTCCCGGGTGCCCCATGTCGAAGTGTCCCTGAGCAAGACACCTAACCCCTTATTGCTCCCCAGGCAAAATGTAAATGTAATGCCATGGGTTAAAAATGTAACGTAAGTCGCTTTGGATAAAAGCGTCAGCTAAATGAAAAAAGGGATTCCTCGCTCGTGGGTTTCGTGGGTAGCTCCCTTGAGCGGAACGCAAGCGCGCCCCCCAGAGGCAATAACTGCTACTACTGGTATCAGTAGCCCTAACTTCATGAGGGTTACAAGTGCATTTCAAACATAAGGATACAAACTCAACATGAACATAGAAGTGCAATTTCATCACGGGAAGGTGGCGACGGTTCATGTGAGCTGCCGTTCACCTCGTAGGACGGTGGCGATAATCAAAGAGGCAACGCTAAAACAATAAAGGGACATGTGGATCGACCGCGCACGCTAAATAACCCATTTCTAGTGGTCGAGTGGACGGTGTGGCCGGGGTGCGGAGGGGGGTGCGGGGCGGGGGGCTGCCGTCAGTCCGCTGGTGCTCTCTCCCCGCTGGCTGCGGTCGGTTATCAAAACGTTGCCCAAATGACCCTTTTCAGACTTCATGACCAAATACAGAATCCCTGTGTGTTCATTTCTAAAGCGTCGCACTAAGACACACATCACTTTATTAAAGACGCTGCGCTGCTTGCAGGTCGCTGTGTTGTGCCTGATTCTCAATAAAGTTAGAAACAATGATTTACTGCGAACGCGTGGCCGTGAAGATACTCGTTAACATGTGATTTGCATGAGGAGGAGGACGCGGGTCCATGTCTCTACTGAAAAAGGATCCTTCCACCGAACACCGGAAGAACCGACCACCGACCAATGCAGCCTGCCGCTCCGAAAAGGGAACCTGCCACCGGCCACCGGAGCCTGCCGTCCGGACAAAGGAAGCTTCCACCGACCACTTTTCGCACTCGGTCCTACTGCGATTCATGGAGGGAGAACAAGAGGTGCACAAAGTTGTGGAGGAAAATACGGGACAAATATGTCCGCGAAAAAAGCACGAGGCAATAAAGTCCATGATAAATAAATAAACAAACCAACAACTTCCACACACAAAGACGTGACTCTCTGGGTCAGGGGTGTCAAACTCAACTTGCACCGGGGGCCAGAATTCAAAACACACTTCAGGTCGCGGGCCGAACAGAATAAACATTTATTGAACACACTAAAACTAAAAGTTTCTTTTAACATAAGTATAAATACAAACAGACAGAAATGTAATTCTGCAATAAATAAACTTAAACTTAACCTAAAATATCTTGCTCTCCATAAAAATATATCCAGTAAAAATTATACAAGTTAGAAATATGAACATGCTGCAAAAAACCGCCTGAAAAAAAAAAATTGTGACAGTGCTTGTGCTTTAAGTAAACATAAATAACAAATCAAAACATTTGAGTTGCTTTGCTTTTGTCATTTTATAAAAAAAAAACTTAGATTTTAAATATCACAAATGATTTTACTCTCCATAAAAATATCTCCTGTCAAAATGATACAAGTTAGAAATATGAACATGCTGCAAAACAAAACAAAACCTGGAAATATAAATAAAATTTGTGCTTTTCAGAAATAACAAATAACGATGCAAAACATTCAGTTTTCTTTGCTCTTATGCCATTTTATCAGAGCTCTGATAGGATCTCATACTGCATGAAAAGTGGGATTTTCGGCAGTATGCGGCACTGTAAATTGTCGTGGAATTTCAGGTTTGCGGCAATTTGCGGGCAACGCCGAAAACTGCCGTAAATTGTCAGAAATTGATGTGGGCCTCCCTTGGCAGTTGTCCCCCCATGACCCCCCTCCTCCTAATTCTAGGGGAGGCTTTGACATGTAAATGAAAATGCTGTGAGCTATACAAATGCAAATCAGGGTCGCAGAGGGAGTTTTAGCCCAGGTGACATTTTTTTAAAAGGTAAGAAAATCTCTGGTACAAATAGATCAGGCTCAGTAGCCTAATTATAGACTCTTACATTTTAGCTTGAATTGATTAATTTAATTCAAATATGCTAGATTACTGTGTACGCCATTAGCAATGGCAAATGTTATGTAAAAAAAGATACACAAAATAACTTCTTTAAAAGATGAGTTTTAATCGAGGTAAAATGAGCATTCCATGCAAACAACATTTGAATCAGCATGAGGGGTCTGCAGAGATCACAGTCTCCTAGAGCTCAACTACAGTGCATAGTGGCAGGACTACAGTGACCTTTTCTTTGGTCTTACTTAAATGCACAGAGGATGTATTAACCACACATCTTCTAGCAATGCGCTCAACTGGCAGAAATGATGCTGTATGACGTGTCCGTTCCCTGCAAGCCCCAAACTTCTATTGGCTTTCCATAAAAATGTCTGTCCGGGTGGAGATGAAGCCAGGAAACTTGTGCAAGAACATGTTTGAATGTCGTACCCTTTGACCCAACATTAACAACTATAAACTGCTTTATAATGGCTGGTCGTAGTTCTGCTAGAGGGTCAAGGACGGGTTCCTCAAAACTGTTAGTGTTTCCACCCCACTTAGGATAAACATATGCTGACCTTTATGCTCTGCATCTATCGATTGAGTAAGTTACATTCATATATGTTACCCGTTTACATGTCATGGCAAAACATTCAACCTCAGTGACACAAGGGTACATGTGATGATACATTGTCAACATTGCATGTCTGTCAGACTCATTGTCTGGTGGAATGGAGAAAGAGCCACCACTGTACAGTTTTCTAGGGAAAGTCGTTCTGCTGACACCAAAACACTGCTTTACATAAAGCATATCAGCTGTTTCAAAGTCCCAACCATTTGTCTTCCTAAAATACTGGTCCTTCCCTATAACAATAACCTCGTATGTGATTGGAGGACCCTTAGACTCCTCGTCCAATCACGTGTGAGGTCATAAGCATGACTGATACAGCAGTACTTGCAAGACGAGCATACAAACAGACACGTGTGTTACTATATTCAGAAGAACTGTATCTCCAGTTCCTTTGTTTGGTGTTTGCTGCTTCGTGAATAATGGCTGGACGACGTCTCGCGTTCAACTCGCCTTCAACTCCTCTCCGCGGTCACCAACTTTCGGCCAGTCCGCAGACAGACGAGAAGAAGCTGCTGAAAGCTCTCAGTGGATCGTCTCGTCAACTCCAACAACCAACTGCCGATATCAACGAGCGGTTCGCTCCACTGGAGCGTTCGGGACTCTGCGGGTTTCTGTCCATGGAGGAGAGGAACCGACTCAAAGAAGAGGAGACGGGCGCACGATCCCAAGATGGCGGTAAGAATACGTTCGATGACTGCTAGCTAAGCTAAAAGTAGCGTAGCCTCAAGCTAAGCTAAGAGTAGCCTAGTAGCCTTACAAGTGAGCAGAAACAGCTTTATTAAAGTGTTTTCTTTGCCGTGTCGTTTACAGGAAGCGGTGCGCCGTCTTCACAACTCCGAGACGTTTTGTCCACAGGTCTACCGTGGACAAAAGCACTGCCCTTGGTTCTGATGTACATGCGGATGAGGAAACGAACACGCAGCAACCTAAGCCCATTTGAAATCCTTTTCGCAGTTCCTCCCCATATAGGTGTGGAAGCTCCAGGAACACCACTCCCTTCCACCACAATGTGCGAGAATGACATGTTAACCTATTACATTCCATGCTCTCCCAACATTCAAAAACAAAGGTGGTCATAGACATAACAAACACTTTGTTCAATCTCTACAGCTATGACGCTGGAAACATCTAATCCAAGTGGGAGACATCAGTTCTTATGTCAGGGCCTTTGTGACCTAAGCACTTGCAACTAATAAACTGGTTATACAAATGAAGCATTTAAAAGGGTCACATATCATTTTCCCATTACATTCCACTCTTTTGATTACATAATAATCACAAACTATGCAATCAATTTAGAATGACTACTAAATTTACCATCTGATAATCTGCCACATCAAATATCACAAAACATGAACATCTGGACATCGCTCACAAAACTTTTCCTGCCACAGAACAAAAACTCCCTAAAAAAACCCTCCGAAATGGGAAAATAGGAAGAAATCTGTTAGGAGAAGATAAAGACTGGAAACCTTCTCACAGGATTTGAGCGTTACACCCCAGATGTCATGTGTACAGTATTGAAATAAAAAAGAAATGAGAACATGTTTAAATCACAATACCAGAACTTGATCCCCTTTCACACAATACAGATATAGAATATTGTGGAAAGGTCATTATATCAATCATATTTACGTTACATACTAATAAATGCAAGAATAAAAGCTGTTTTTGTGAGAATGTTATTTCTCATTGTTTTAGCAAGCAACTGTGAAACCAAAAACATTTAGAACATCAGGAATGCACACAGACAGTGTGTCACTATGTCACTATGCGTACGTGTCGAGGTCGTAAGTGTTCAGCTCGTCAAGGGAGTCCGAGTCACTGTTGGGGTTATTGTCAGAGTCGCGTCTAGGGAACAAGTTTGGTGGTGAGTCATCAGGTGACCCCAGGCTGTACATAGCCATTTGTTTCGCCAGGAGTTGGGCAATCGTATGACGGATCAATGGGATACCGCAAATTACGAATGCGAAGAGAACACAGAGGATAGTAGCTGCTTGTATTAGTGTTCCTTTCCATGAATACCACACCCGTGTGAGCCAATCTGGGGAGGGAGATTTATCTCTTGTCATAGATTCCTGAAGTTTTGTCATGTTTTGTATCGCCTGATGGATTATGCCTTCGTCATTCTCAGGGATAAACGTACAGCAATATTCTCCTACGATAGCACAAACACCTCCTTGGGCAGCGGTCAATTGGTCTAGTACCATGCGGTTCTGCATGATCATTAAACGCATGGCGGTCATTTCCTCGCGAATACCCTTAAGGCCAGCTAGAGTCATGTTTACAAAGCTTTTGAAACGGTAATCAACGGTTTCAAGTCGTAGCGTGTTTTTTCCCCACTCCTGTCCATGGAAACAGTCCCCACAAAACTTTAACTGACGTACTGGCGTGTTTGAACT